GTACCGGTGAAGTATGAGTGAAGTACCGATGAAGTACCGGTGAAGTACTAGTGAAGTATGCACTCCTGAAGTCTCGCTTTTTCCCCCTTGCTATTTACTCAATCATAAGTAATTTCTTTTTCTCTGTGATAATAACAACGGATATAATCATAATGTTCTCTTGAACTACGGTGATAAACAATGAATTAATATAAAATTTATGGATAAATATTGTACTTTCAATATATTCGTGTATAAAATGCATTTTTTAGCAAACCATCCAGTGTTATTCAAATTTTGATAGGCTATTTTTCTTCGATAAAATATTAGAAGAAAGAAAAGACGTATTACCAACTTAGTTTTTCTAATATAATCATGGAGATGCTATTTTTTATTTCCATCATTGTTCTATTCAAATGCAATTCTCTTTTTCTGAAACAACGTAGTTTATATTATTATGATTATAATAGAGTCTACAGGATTTTATAAGCGCTCTGTCTCTTGTTTTGTGTACATAAAACATCAAAACAACATACAATAAATAAAAGAAAAATAAGGGAAACATTTACTCGAGGAATTATTTTTCATTAAGGAAAAAAGTACATTAGAATGTGTTGCTATGATAAATCAATATTTAACTAACTTGGAATGGTAAAAATATTGTTTGTTTTAATTTGTCTAATAAATAGAATGGTAATACTGCTATATAAATATAAATCTCAAATGTGGGTGCGGATGTCTCTTTCTTTAGTCAAATATTTTTCCTTGTTGCTATTCTACTCGATTTGTGTATGTATACTAGTCACGATCGCAGCTTTTATTTTCAGACACTTGACAAACAATCTATAGTCCTATTTTTATGTAGTGATTAAATATTAAACGAGAGAGTTGGAGAAAATGAAAGAAAAGAGAAACAGTAATGTTAATAACTAAAATACTTTTAACAAAAAAGTTTAAAACATCAAGTCATAAAAGATGTTTTGGATATTTTTTGTTTTACTAGTAGTTTCTACTGGTGATTGTATTCTTATCGGTAAAATAGATAACAATATATTGATTGGCAATATATCTAAATTATTATGGAATATAACGCAAAGTCAGTGTATATGTGAAATGATGAACTCAAATGGAACAATATCGGCATTAAATTACTTCTCAATAAATCAAACTTGTCAATTATTTTATGCAAATTGTACTTCGATCTTCATTGAATTTAATTTCAATTCTTCTTTGATATTTATGAATCAATCAGCAATATTCATAGCACAGAGTAAATATATTATATAAATACTGCAAAAATATCATAGTTTTGCCATGATTGAATGACATATATTTTCGGTACAGATTATATTAAAAGAAATATTACTTAGTTTCACTATCCAACGAGCTAAACATATATGGAAAAATGTAGTAAGATTTATTTTTTCTGGTAAAAATCCCACCTTTTTTAGTTTAGCAAGTTAGACGTTAGAGAAGAATGTTAATATCTTGAGGGTGTGGGTGTAGGTGTAGGTATGACTTCTCTTAATTCATATCCTCCCTTCCACAGATAGCCATACCCACTCCCAATAATGCCACCGAAGATTTGTAATAAATTTAGCAACTTTTGATCCCTTACAGCCGAGAGTTGTCAATGGGCAACATTTTCCTTTTTTTCTATTTTATATACCAACAAAATTCTGTTATTAGTGATAACTCGTACTAATGATAAAATAAGAAAATTTTCAGAATTACTACTAGTTAACATATCCAATTTCCAAAAATCATCGAGAAACGATACGTTTTGATAATGCTGACGTTCCATGTTAATTGATATTTACTAGGCTACTTTCCAAAAGTCATACGTATTCATATTGAATGAGAAGTGGGTAATTTATGTGATATTTACCTTTAATTATCGTACTATAAGAATGGTATTCGATAGTAGTTTGAAAGAGTTATTGGTACAACATTATCTCACTGTTGCCATTTGGCAACATCCAGTCGGAAAGGGTTAAATAAAAATAAAAGATTTCAAGAAAAAAATCCATATGCAGATCTTATATAACTCAATTTGTGTGATTCGAAAAGTTTCTTTTTTAGTGAACTTATAAGAAATGTAAATCGAATTGTCAAAATTATTATAAGAGAAGTATACTTACAGTAAATATCATAGAAATACGATTATAATGGAAATCATTTAAACATTTCCTATTTTATTATAATCAACTCATATTTAACGTTGATACATTTTTACAGTAAAGGAAACAAATCTTATCCAATCGTTTAGTCTCACTCTAAAATCATTTTTTCAATATAGAATCGACTACGACATCAACAACAACATCAACAACAACAACAGCAACAATACAGCGTTAGTACTATATTAAATGATTTTTAGGTGCTCAAACGATTATCACTAGAAATGGCGATATTTAAAAGCTTTGTTTTTAGCTATTGAATAATCGCCATTCAGATAGACAAAAATAGGGAACATTTACTCTCAGAAGTCGAAACAAGGCCAATTTTAGATAACTAGATTTGATCTACACTCATTTAAGTGTTGGATATCCATGTACTGTCCAACAGTATCAGACGAAAACATTGTTGATAAAAAGATTTTCATGTGATAGAAGTCATTAATCATTTTAGTAATCACTTACACCAACCCACTCTCAAGGTGATCCGAATAATTTTACACATTGAAGTACTAGTTGACATAATACCGACATGAGACATATCTATCAACACCTGATCTTATGTTTCAGGTCGCATTTGTATCGAGCTGAGAAATTCAAAAAAATATCGCAAGAATATAACAAGCAAATTTCAAACTCGAGAAAAACGCCTTTCGTCATCATCATCAATTAATCCTTGGTGTACTGATTTTCTCATGAGAAAAATGCGAGAATTATATTCTCTTACTCACAGTCACATCCTAGCGCATACATACATACATCACCCATCCAATCTGATGAAAGTACATATTGTTTCCAATTTGTTAAACTATGTAGAATGACTTCCACTCAAATTCTGAAATTTGATCATTGTTCATCATAACTGAATTGTAGGACAGTGTTGGAGTTTCATCAGTTCGCGGCATCGGTAGGACTCGAAAAATATCAGTAAAATCGTTTATAATGTATTTTTCTTTAATTTAATTTAAAATTTATAATAAATCTTATCTTAACGATAAAAAAAGAGAAGTTTATTGAAGGTTTGAAATCATTTAATCTGTGATCAATAGATAGATAACTTATGCACAGAAGAGATTTGACGTCATTTTAAGGACAACATTTTTACTCACTTTTCTGTCTTATCTAGAATGGACAATGACAGGAAGCATGAGTATCGAACGACAATATCACACCGCATCCACATTAGCAAATGGACAAGTATTAGTTGCTGGTGGATATTATGGTGGTTATCTCAATAGTGCTGAATTGTACAATCCATCAACAGGCACTTGGACAACTACAGGAAACATGAGTATCGCACGAGAATATCACACAGCATCCACGTTAGCAAATGGATTAGTATTAGTTACTGGTGGAAAGTACTGCGGTGGTTATGGTGAACTTAGTAGTGCTGAATTATACAATCCATCAATAGGCACTTGGGCAACCACAGGAAACATGAATACCGCACGACAATATCACACAGCATCCAGATTAGCAAGCGGATCAGTATTAGTTACTGGTGGATGGGGCAGTGGTAATTATTTCAATAGTGCTGAATTGTACAATCCATCAACAGGCACCTGGACAACTACAGGAAACATGAGTTTCATCCGATATAGTCACACAGCATCCATATTGGCAAATGGATCCGTATTAGTTGCTGGTGGATACGGCAGTAGTGGTACTTTCAATAGTGCTGAATTGTACAATCCATCAACAGGTACTTGGACAACTACAGGAAACATGAGTTTCTTCCGAGTTGGTCACACAGCATCCACATTGGTAAATGGAAAAGTATTAGTTGCTGGTGGCAGTAGTGCTGAACTTTATTAATCAATATACACAGAATGACATTTTCTTTTTTGAACTGAATCATATTTTTTTTTATATATAATCAAGCTATTTAATTATTCACATTTCTTAATACATTATCATTTATCAAATAATATATTAGCTATAGTAATATTCGAAGTCATCTTGAGGGTGTATGTGTGGATGTGAGTGTGAGTAGAGAGAAACGACCCACACCCATTAGGGTATGATCAAAGCACGTTCCTTACGTCGATTATCTGATCATTATGATTCATTGATATATATGTGCCCTACGTGTATGTACAATGATCTTGTGCAATACGTTTATTTATTGAAATCATATTGATGGCCAACTGATATAATATTTATGTTCAGTTTCTTCAAGCATTTACTTATGAGCATTGACATATTGGCAGCCTAGGTTGTCTGATTGAACCTTTTTTTCATAATCACATTGTTTGCATCGACTATTACAAGTAGTTCCACCATCGAATTCAAGACAAGTTTTTAACGTGTAACAACAACTTCTTACAGCATGGACTTCTACTATATGTCAAAAAATATGACAATGAACATTTACGTCTTTTTCTAAAACACCTTTTCTTTGTGATTGATGCTAAGATGAGAGCAACGTTGAGTAAAACATAGATTACTGTTTGACATGCTATAATATTTATCGAATATTAGTAATAATTTAACCTAAATCATGCATATTTCCTCTTTCCTATATTGTATGTCGAGTAAATCAAAATTGATTACATATTATTCTTGAAATGCCATTCCTAACAGAACACGTAGTACATATTGGCGCTTTTACCGTCAACAATAGTGGTATCGTTCTGGAGTGTCCTGCAAAATAGACTGTTCTGTTAAGGATCTCTAACTACAACACTATATCAAGTCTAAGAACAATATCAATCGTTGAGAACTTCGAGCGACGAGAACCATTGCATATGAAAAGAATAAAGAAGTAACGCTCAAATAATAAGAATAAGCATCTGTAGCTCAATGGTAGAGTACTCGATTTCCACTCCAGCGATCTGGGTTCGATCCCCAGCAGATACATTTACTTTTTATGACAACATTCGAAGATTGCATCTACGAATGATTCAATGCTTTAGTCATTTCATGATAACTTTCATACATTGAAAATATGATGCAATATACAACTGAAGAACAGAATATGTTGTCATCATGCGATGAGAAGCAATGTCTTTGATATGAGGGTGTGAGAGTGTGGGTCGGTGTGGATGTGGGTGAGGTTCATAGAACCAAATAATATGCATACCCACACCCACACCTACACCCTCATGTATACTTCAAACGAAAGAAGAAAATGCAATTAGCACTTAATTAAAAAATCAATAAACGATTACAATTTAATTCAAAAATAAATAAACAATTTCGAAAAAGTAAAATTTCAATGGACAAATTTCCAAACGAAATAAGCAATTGCTCATTTGCCTCGCCCCTCGCTGCGCCACTGATAGTGAGGAGTTTATTCGTCTTCATCGGATAACGTTTCTTCAAAGACAGACGAAAATGTAGGTGTCTGGGTCTTGTTACGATGTTCATTACATTCGTTAACTGCAAAAAGTGAAAGAATGAGGAATAGATCATTGCACAATCGATGAAGGTGTTCAGTCATTCTTTCTCCACTCGAGTAAGCTGCCCAAGTTGCGAAAACAGGAGCAAGTGCTACACCAATAACTATACCGGCAATAGATACGATACGTAATCCGACTGTACCAGCTGGAATGGCAAATCGTAAGATATCATCCACTGACGTGCCTATTGCAGTTAAAACAGTAACCATCTTTGTTCCATTGCGAGTCAATCGGTCATTCTTCTTTACAGTTGAACTTTTCCTTGCATTCTGATACATTGATGGTGCTCGGTTATATGTGTTGCTAACTTCCGGTCTATCAGATTCTAAGTATTCGAAATAGCCAGATTCCAAAGTATTCTTCGGTATTGTTACGTTTTTCGTCTTGAGGTATTCTTCTAAAGAATCTTTCGTGCCACGAAACATGTTCTTTATTGCGGATCTATCGTGCACGCCAAAAGCTTGACGGATTTCTTCGCGTCCGAAGAAATTTGGTAGTTCATCAAGAAAAGGAATCAGACTAGCGCCAGCAGCAAACCATTTCCATCGTGTTTTCGAGACCACGTAACCACGACGAAAGCAGGTATTGATAACAGCTTTTGAAGTGAGAATGGCAAGTTGACATATTCGGATCGTTCGAATGTCCGTGACAGCCAAATAAATCAATTTGTCTTTCAATTTATCTAAATCGAATTGAGCCCAAGATGCATCTTTTGAGTTATCATTGCATCTAACTGCTGTGAGATAGATTTCCTCTCTTAGACGCTCATCACTGAATGTAACCTTAGATAGGCTTCTCGTTTGTTCCAAAGCTTTTTTTACATCGTAATCTGCAGCAGTCTCCTTCTTGTAATCTGTTGCTGTTTCGTCCTTGAAAATATCATTAAACAACGCATCGGCCTTACTTCTAACTAAGAGACATTCTCGTTGAAGTTTTGTTTTAATATATTCTTGACAATCACGGTTGTGTTTGCTAAACAGTCCAGCGAAAACAATTATGTACACATCACAATCCGCTCGAGTTATTAATTCTAGATAGTTTCCTGCAGATAAAGATTCGTCAGCGTCGATAGCTCCTTCAATATCAACGAAAGTAAATGGAATAGATCTTCCAGTTCGAGGATGTTTATAGGCGAGTGTGTCGAATTGTAAATAACGGAATGTACTTCGTGCAGTATCAATCATGGTCGAGTATTGCCTGGCATTGGCTAGTTCGATTGCTAACGCACTTTTTCCTACAGATCCATGACCAATCAAGCCAACTTTGTACGGAATAGAGTAAGTCGACTTTTGATCTTTGAACAATTCGGTCAGATCGAGTTCTACAGCTTGAAAGAGTTCGATCACTTTGGGTTTGAACTGATCATCTGCACCATGATCATCTTGCCATGTTTTCATCAACTGCTCAGCTGTCGGAAAAGTAGCCTTGATTTCGACTTTTTCTATTCGTGCACACAGTTTCTCCATCAATTGAATATATGTGAAGCAAGGAATGTCTTGAGCGTCAATGTATTGTGCAAAATTATCACGATCATTTTCTCGAGGTTTTCCATCGCGTAACAGATTAATATATTTATCAATACATTGTTCGATAGCTCGTAGATTTCCACGTAAACAATTGAGGTCACTATTGACATCGGATATAGTTACTAACCTTCTCTCGGCTTTATGAATATATTTATCAAAAGACGCGTTTCGTTCTGGCTTATTCTGCAATAAGGATCGGATTGTTTCTAGACATGATGATAGACAATGTCGTCGAAAAGCAAGATCTTCAAGAATCTGGTCGATCGCATGGATATTTTCTGCTTCTGATAGCATCTCCAAGCGATTCATATCATACTTTTGTTTGAGATGCTCTTGAAGGGATTCAGATATATCTACTGTGATGTCGGAATCATTCATCTCGATTTTTTCGATGACATGAATTAATATATAACATGTGCGATGAAAGTCACGCATACCTTTTTTGTATTTACCTAGACAGCTTGTCACATCAACACCACGATATTTCATTTCTTCGTGTTTATCCTTCATTTGAACGACAAGTTCTTTCAGATCAGCACATAGTTTAGCCACCTGATTAATGAGCGATTCGTCAAATAGATCAAGAGAAGTCATTCCTAATCTCGTTCGAAAAGTATGAAGTTGACATTCCAGATGAACCAGTCGAAATTCCATGTTTTTGATGAGAGGTCGACATGAGATAGTTTGTTTGTTGTTTTGCAGGTCAAATAAACTACGAACTCCATACGTTTCGCACATATTCTTCCAGACGACATGCTTCTGAATTAGATCGGCTGATCTCAGACTAACATTTTTCCTGCATGTAGCACATGCAAATATACGTTCTGCAGTTGCTCCAACAACACCCTGTACACAACCGCTGCAATACTGTTCCCCACAATGCTTTGTAGGACATTCGAATAAAAGTTGATTTTCCAGAATGCCAAAAGGATTGTCACACAAGGCACATGCAGGATGGCTCTACAATGCAAATAAAATATTTTAGATGAATAGACCAATAAAAGTATGACACATACATATCGGATAAATAAACTTTCCGACTTCTGTTTCTTAGGTAAAGCAGGAACAGAAGTTAAGAGCACTTCGACGTTGTTATGATCATAATACGTAACAATAGCATTTCTATCGTTAAAATCCAGTTCGTTGTACAGTGTGAAAGCATCTTCTTTGATATCCTCCACTAAACTGTATTGTTGTGTGTTAAGAACCTTCATTCCTGATAAATAATGAACACGAAAATGGTGATAACTTTCATGAGATAAAGCTGGGGTTGATGACAGCGAACTTTGACCGTTTGAGCCGATGGAAGAAGCGGTGTTTGCTGTGAAACTTTCTCTTGTAGTTTGCATTGTTTTAAAATCTCAACGACAACAATTACTAAATATAATTTAGTGCGTTGCTTAATTCCTTTTTATAGTTGAAAGAACATGCATATCTTTTTTCTCCCAAGAAAAATATTAGTCATTGTTATGCTTATCCAATAAAAATATATTCTCTAATAGCACGAAAGATGTGATAAAAAAGGCGACTATCTCGTCCTTCGTTTTCGAAGAAAGAGTAAATCTTAGAAGCGAGTAAGAGACGTACACAGACACTTGGTTTTTTCCGCGAATATGTCGTTCTGATGCGAATACCTACAGATATTAATCAAAACTTCCAACATCATCATTCTTGTAATCGAAAATGTGACGGGTGTGGGTATAGATGGGTGTGGGTGTAGAGTGTGGGTATGGGTGTGGGTGGGTATGAGTATAGGTGTAGGTTGAGGTGGGTGTGAGTGTGGATAGATATGGATGTGGATACAATTGTAGGTGTGC